GGGGGGGAAGGCACAGCTGCCAGACACAACACACAATATTGGGATAAAGGCTGAAGGCTGTCACCCCACGACAACTGGAAAGGTGCTGATAACACACTGCTGTTTTGGCTATTGCTGAGCAGCACTGGCACAGCACCAGCACTGTCTCTCCAACATTCCTCCCTCCATCAAGGGGGCTGGGGGTGGGCAAGATCCTGGGAGGGGACACAACCAGGCCAGCTGACCCAAACTGACCAAAGCCATATCCCATGGCGCATGATATCAGCTCAGATATAAAAGCTGAGGGAGAAAGGAGGAACCGGGGGCATTCATTTTTACAGTGTTTGCATTCCAAAGCAATCTCTACAATCCTGAAGTCCCACTGCCCAGGACCTGGCCAGACATGGCTTGTGGACGGGAAGAAAAGAATAAAATTATTTTCTTCCTCTTTGCTTGCATGTGCATAAATTATTGCTTTTGCTTTAGTAAACTGCCTGATCTCAACCAATGTGTCGTTTTCCATCTTATTCTCTCTCTCCTATCTCTCCTATCCAGCTGAGAAGGGGAAGTGATAGAGCAGCTTGATGGGCACTAGCCACCTAGCCCAAGTCAACTCACCACAATTTTTTAAGGTCATGGTCTGGAGAGTTGACTCACAGCCTCCAGTGCTGAGAGGCTGGGCTGTAATGAGTAATGAGCTGCAAAGAGGTGGGACTTTTTTTGGGGGGGGACCCATCCCCAACTGATGGAAATTATAAGCATTTATCTTTGCAGAAAGGAGACAGGCAGAGGAGGAGACCAGCCACATGGGAAGCATTCTAGCTTGAAGAACAGCACATGCTCTCTGATGAGCTGACTATTTTTGTGGTGAATATTTGCAGCATCAAGCCCATATCTGCTTTCCTAAGAAAGGTCCAATACTGAGGTGATGTTCCTGCTGGTTACACCAGAGCAGAGATGCAATCCTCCTCTCCAGGAGAAGTCTTTGGGTACAGGACATCACAGGTGGCAGCCGAGCTGTCAAAGCCACCATTTCAGGGAGCTGTGCATACAGAATCACTCAGAATCACAGAATGGGCCAGAATGACCACATATCTGGTCCAACCTCCCTGCTCAAGCAGGGCTACTCTAGAAGACATGGCACAGGATTGCATCCAGGCAGTTCTTGAATCTCTCAGGTGAGGGAGACTCCACAACCTCTTTAGGCAATCTGTTCCAGTGTGCAGTCACCTGCCCAGTAAAGAAATTCTTCTTCATATCCACGTGGAACCTTGTCACCCTCCCTTAGGACACTTCTAGACATAGATGAGGTCACCTATCAATTGTGTCTTTGGGCAGCAGCAGCAGGAGGAGCGTTCTCCACGATTCCTTGCCATGGAGCCAGTTAAATTTTCTTGGACCCTAAACGACAGGCAGTCAGAGCCTGAGCTCTGCCAGGAGCAAGCCTAAACCAGGCACAGGCTCAGGAAGTACTTCAAAAGTTTCTTCCCTGGAAGAATCACAGAATCATTAGGATTGGAAGGGGAATTTGGAGATCACCCACTCCAACGCCCCTGCCATGGCAAGGGTCACCTAAAGCTCGTGGCGCAGGAATGTGTTCAGGTGGGTTTTGAATACCTCCCCACAGGGAGACTCTCTCTGTGACTTCCCTGAGCAGCCTGTCCCAGTGCTCTGCCACTCTAAGTGTAACGTTCTTCCTCATGTTGAAGTGAAACTTCTTGTGTTTACTGCCTTTGCTCCTCATACTATCTCTGAGAACAACTGAAAAGTCTGGCACCACCCTCCTGGCATTGCCTTTGAGACATCTGTGTGCATTAATGAAATCTCCTCTCAGTGGTCTCTTCTCCACACTGAACAGGCCCGGCTCCTGCAGTCTCTCCTCATGAGGGAGATGCTTCAGACCTCAAGTCAGCTTTGTGGCCTCTGGACCCCTTCCAGTATCTCCGTGTTTTTCTTGAGCTGTGGAGCTCAGAAGTTGAACACGGCAGATCAGATACGGCCTCACTAGGGCTGAGTACAGGGGGCAGGATCACCTCATCGACCTGCTGGCAGTGCTCTTCCGAATGCATCCCAGGATTCCGCTGGCGTGGGTGCAGCGCAAGGGCACACCGCCGGCTGGAAGAACGGGCCGGCACAGCCTGTGAGAAATCG